TTTCCCTCTCTCCTTCTCTGTCTTTGTCTCTCTCTCAGGAGAGTGCATGCACCTTCTGGCAATAAAAAAAGACAACTGTAAATATTACAATCAAACCTGCAATATTGAAACATTTATATTAAAATTGGAAGCAACATGAGCATGCCTATTATCATCATATGATTGAGCATTTCTTTAAAAGTTGTAATTATTGTAATAATGTAATAAGATGAAATGAGTTTCATACACATAAAATATGTATGATATTATAAAATCTTTATTTGTATCTGATGTCATTCATGCCTAAAATTTCAAGAAACTCCTGTAAAATCCATTAGAATTAATAAGATAGTTTGTTAGATTTCTAGATGAGAGAACAACATACAAAAATTATGGTTTTTACTTATAGTAAGAATAATGAGCAGTTAAGTTAAATGTAAAAAGGAAAAGACTACATTCACTGTAGTGATGACAATCTATAAAATTTTTAGGAGTAAATATATCAGAAGCATATAGGGCCTTTATGAAGAACATGATTTAATTTTATTCTGAAGGAAACTAATAGATATTGAAGAAACAGAGCCTTACAATGTTCCTAGATAGGATGATTTATTAATAAGAAATGTAAATTGTGTAAATTAAGAAAAGTATGTAGTGCTATCTCAACAAAAAACAATTTTTTAACTTTGGTGACTAAGAAAAATTACCTTAAAATTAATTAAATTACTAAATGTTTGAGAAGAGCCAAGAAAGTTTTGAAAAAGAAGGTTGCCCTTCTGATTATTAAAATTTACATTAATAGCTTCAGCAATAAAAGTAGTATATTGGCATGGAACAAACATATCTATGAATATATTTATGCATTTATATACAGAATAGTGTAGTAACAGATACACACACACATTATATATATGTATAATTTTAACAAGTGGCAAGAATATCATCTTAATTCAATGGGAGATTATGGTTTATATATAGTACAGGTATAATTTGGCATCTATCTAAAAGAAAACAAATTTAGATCCTTACATCATATGTAAAATTAAATTCCAGATGGATTAATGCTCCAGATATTAAAAACCACGTAAAGTAATAGAACTATGTTTTAGAGAATATATAAGTTCAATAACTTTATTCATATAAAAGACTAAAAATGAAAAAAATTATACAAGAAAATTTGTAAAAACATGTAGGATGGAAAAAATATTTGTAACATGTGACAAAGGGCTACTTTTTTTTTATCACATAAAGAACCTCATAAACTTTATAGTGAAAGACAAACAGCTCAAGTAAAAATTGGAAAAACATTTGAAGACAGTTATCTGAGCAGGAAATATAAGTAGCTAAAACTCATAAATGATTTGCTCTTACTGTCCAGTAATCGGGAAAATGTAAATGAAAACAAATACAAAATTTCATTTTCTCTTTAACATATTGGCAAATGTGAAACATTGGTTATAAGGAGAAAGGAAAAGAAGACATTCACTTATTATTATTTGGAGTGTAAATTGCTATCACTTTAAAAAAAGTTTATTTATTTATCCCATGAGTGAGAGAGTCAGAGGGAGAGAGAGCAGAAGAGAGAGAGAGAGAAAGAGAGATTGCATCTTTGACAGGTTCTTGATGCCAAAATCTATCCCCCAGCCTCAGCCAGCCCCAGATCATGGGCATACATGTGCCTGACATACGTAGGAAAGTCTCTGGATGCAAATTGACAACCTTCCCACATGGGTCTGCCTCTCAGAGCTTTATGTCTTACTTCACTGTCTGGCCCATGCTATCAACTTGTTGAAAAGAAACTGAATTAAAATAACTTCCCCATTTTATTCAGTGTAATGTAGTGTTGTTTGAAAAGGTACAAGCATGTAAGCATTCCGAACATCCATCAACTGGAAAATGTTTGAATAAATTATTACTATATGCATTTAATATTAAACAGATGTTAAAAAGAATGAATTTAAACCATATGAATTAATGTGGGCAAATGTGCATGATATATGAAGCTAAAAAATCAGATTGTACATAGTGTTTCTATTTCTGTTTTAAAAAACATAAAAGTAAAAAAAAATAATAAACAACTCGCCAAAATAGCCTCTATGTATTAGGGTAGAGTTAAATAAATATCAAATTTTTAATACTATTATCATAGGATGGTGGGACTGGAGGGTGTGTGTGACTTAATTCATACTTATGAATTTGAAGTGCTTTTGCAATTGAAAAAACCTGATACATATATATTTTTAGAGAGATTTTTGCTATAGAGTGCGTGTGCTCACCAGAGAAACGGGGACAGAGAGATCAAGGAGTGATGGCTATGCCACAATCCCTTCTCCTCCATTCTTCCCTTGGGATCTTGGGCATGCATGCACACGTGTCCAGTGAGCGTTTTGAGTTGCGAAGTCCGGAACTCGAACTGCAGTTATAACTGTGTGGGAGTCCCATGATGTAACCATTATGCCATCTGCTGATCTCAAAATACCTGATATTTTGAAAGACTAGGAATCACTTCAGAAGTTAAAAGAGTATAAAGTAGGAAATGTAATTTCTGCTTTTATTTTATCCCTAAACTGTGCGTGGTAATGACAGTTATCTTCTCAGTTATGGTGTTGTTGTAAAGATAAAATAAAGGAAGCAGACAAATATAATTTGAATATTTAAAATACATTGGATAGAAGCTATTATCCTCAAGAAAATTCTCAAACATTGTCGATTTATATAATGCAGGTGACAAAATCACCTGAGGAAGCAGCATCCCTTCCCAATGGCGATGTAGAGGGAGAGGCACCAAGTTCCACAGAGGTAAGGGCTGGTGTCCTGAATCATCTCCCTGATACCAGTGTCCTCAGAATGTCTGCTTGGTCCTTATGTTTACCTGTCTGTTTCCTTGTCTGTCTTTCTTTATCTGTGTCTCTCTGTATATCTACCTATCTTTAATCTCTGATATAAAGCCTTCTTCCCTACAAGCAACAGAAAACAAACATTGTGTAAATGTTGAATTCTTTGATGTTCTTTTCATAAGCCTTTAATGGATGAATTGAAACTCCTCACTAAGGCAGATTTTTACTCTACCATGTATATCAGTCAGAGATATTGACTTACATGAATAGGTCCTATCAGCAATTTTGGGGTTTGGCGATCCTAGGCCGTAGTAGCTCAATAGCTTAATAAATAGGAGGTCTGTGTTCGCTTCATTTATGTACTGTTTTTCTAATTAAAAAAGCTATAGCATGTGTGGTCTGGTTTTTCTAGGGAGCTTATCTAAAGTTAGTGATATTCTGGATTTCCTTTATGACCAGGGAACAGAGAAAACTGAAGAAGGTGGAGAAAATGAGGCACAAAAAGAAGGCAATGAAGATGTGAGCAACCTCCCTGAATCTGAAAAGAATGTGAGTGTTTGCTTTCATCATGGTAGTTTCCATTGGATTCAATTCTGTTCAATAAGCACGTCTGGACTTCTATCAGGTGCCTGTAGTTGTGCTAGAGTTTGTGCACTTAGCACTGAAAATAGAAATGAGAAGCTGAGAGTGTTGCCAGGAGGAAGCAGATAATTTTCATTAACATGCTGACTGCTGTGGTCCAGGTGCAGAGAGAACTAAAGAGAAGTCAAAGCAAGGACTTGGATACCAGGCCTGGAGGGAACCAGCTAGACAAGGCTTTAATAATTTGTTGTGTTGTTATGGTTAGGTTAAGACCAGTGATAGACTCTGAGTATACACTCATCTAAGAGCCCTGCATGTTGGGGAAACAGACAAGGTGGTGGATGTGTTTATGGGAAACCAGCAGGAACCTGAGGATAACAAGAAGCTTTGGGGAAGGAAACTGACACTCAATCCAAGTCCAGTCAGGGAAATAGCAGGTCCCATTGAAGGCATAAGATCTAATTGTAAAGGGGTTCCCATTTAGGAGCAACAGGATATGGAGAAGGATTGGAGTAAGGTAACTGGTTCTGTAAGTGCCCAGGTAAAATAATGAGGGATCAGATGGACCATTTATTTAAGGAATTCTGAGGCCCCACTACAGGGGAGCCTGGTAGGACTATGGGTGGGGTATGGCATCAGGTTGAGCCTCCCTGGAGAATTTCAGGGGACTTCTCCATTGGGCCAAATGTAGATATTTTGTTTATCAAACTCTGATGGTTTGCTTCTTAAAGATTTATTAATTCCAGGAGACATATGGACAGTTTTTAAGACAGTGGACCCTCATCTTCAGTAGATAGGGTGTGGATAAGAAGGGCCGAGACAACCACGTGGTGGAAAGCAGGAGTGTGGGGTTGGACAATGAATTGTTTTTATCTTAAGGAATTTAAATTTGGGAAGGTTCAGGGCACTAAATTACCTCAGTTTTAGACTAATTTTTTAAATAGACTGTTATTTTAAGATGTTGATAATTTAAAACTGAAGTGTTTTATTTTGAAGAAAGACGAAATCTTCAATTTTGACCTAGAAGTTAGATGAGGTTTCATGGCAGCCTGAATAATTCAGAAATAAAACTTTTAAGTTAAATAAGTGACAGTATCATTGTCTTATGGTGGAAAAAATCTACATTTTATAATGTTACCCTTGTGTAAGTTGCCTAATGTGGTCTTGTGGTATTAATTATTGATTCCTTGAAATTAGTTTGCTTTGACTCCATTGCCTGGTGCTCTCTGTGATCTGGGCGCAACCCACCCAACCGGAGATGTGGGCCTGATCTCGGCAGGCCTCCTCAGCCTCTGGGATTATCTGGAATTTGTGGCACTCCAGCCCCTGCTCTTCATTAAGCTATCTCTCCTTAGCTTGTTCCTACCTCATTAAGAGCTGAAACTTTGGCAGAGAAGCCAACCACCTAAAGTTACCTGCATCAGCATTAACTGCTCTGATTTGAGAGACACAGCCCTCCAATAGCAACACACCTGATAACTAAGGGTGAAATTCCCTTTCCCAATTCTACAGAATCTATTCCAATAAATAGGGAAAAGTGAACACTGCAGCAGATGACCAGCACAGATCTTGAAGAAACATGAAAAAACAAGGGGGTAACTTTCTTCAAGGTGAATGAAGTATACACAGGAATACACAGAAATGTCAGAAAAAGATTTCTAAACATTTATAGTGACAAAACTCAATGAGATTCAAGAGAAAACAGATTGATTCCAGGAAATGAGAAAATCATTCCAGGACATGAAAGAGGAGTTATCTAAAGAGACAGAGACTCTTAAAAAAAAAAGCAATCAAATAGAACTTCTGGAAATGAAGAATACAATATAAGAAATTAAAATTTCCCTAGAAAGCATTAACAGCAGATTGAACCATGCAGAAGGAAGGATTTCTGACCTTGAAAACAAGGTCTCCAACATAGACCAGAAAACTAAAAGAATGAGAACAACAACAACAAAAATGAAGATAACATGGGAAATTCTAGATACTATGAAATACTCAAATATCCATCTAATGGGAATTCCAGAAGGTGAAGAAACTGCTAAAGAGATGGAAAATCTCTTTCATGACATACTACTTGAAAATTATCCAAATATAGAAAAACATGGAGAAATTCAGACCCGAGACATAAAAAGGACTTCAAATAGAATCAACATAAAAAGATCTTCCCCTGGCATATCATAGCCAGATTGGTAAAAATCAAAGACAAAGACAATATTCTAAAAATGGCAAGAGAGAATCTTCAAGTTACTTATAAATGTTATCCCATTAGGCAAACATCAGACCTCTCAACTGAAGCAATACAGGCAAGGAAATAATCAGAAGATATATTCAAAACATTAAAAGAAAAGCATTTCCAACCAACAATACTATACCAGCAAAATTATTCTTCAAATAGGAAGAACAAATAAAAGTATTCTCAGATAAACAAAAACAGAAAGAATGCACCAATACTTTACCAGCTCCACAAGAAGACTGAGTGAAGTACTGTATCAAGAAAACTAAAGAAAGACAAACAGGAATAAGAGCACAAAGAACAACCTAGAAAATGGCTAATAAAATGATAGGGATAAGTCTGCAAATATCAATACTAACACTGAATGTCAATGGATTAAATTCTCCTATTAAAAGACACAGACTGGCTGATGGATTAAAAAAAGAAGCCATCTATATGCTACTTAAAAGAAACACACCTCACTGATAAGGACATAAATAGATTAAAAGTGAAGAACTGGAGAAAGATATTCCATACAAATAGAAGCCAAAAGCAGGCTGGAGTTTCAATAATGATATCAGGCAAAATAGACTTTAAGACGAAAGGTGTAAGAAGAGACAAAGAAGGACATTATGTAGTCTAAAAGGACTTGTAAATGGATGTGAATACCAGTTATAGGTGTGTGAAAGAATAGAGTCTGAGGAAGGACATTTAGAAGAAAAATAGAGAGGCAAAGCATTAATGGGACAAAGAAATGTGGTATTATCTGTTGACAGTTTTATAGTTTTATCAACTGGACTAGGGAGAAATGTTCACATGTTGAAATATTCACTTTGTAAACTAAATAACATGATTGAACGTATAAAATAAAATAAAATATATATAAAAAAACTATACACCCAACACTGGTGCACCTAAATGCATGAAAAAGAGACTGTTAGATCTCAAGGAAGAGATAGACTGCAACACAATAATTGTTGGAGATCTCAGCACCTCACTCTCTACTCTGGACAAAAAGTAAAGATATATAAGATCTAAATGATACCATAAATGAAATGGACTTGACAGACATTTACAGAGTATTTCACTCAACAGCCACGAAATACTAATTTTTCATATCCCCATATGGAATATTCTTAAAGATCGACCACATGATAGGGCAAAAAATAAACCTTTACACATTCAAATGTATAGAAACTATATCCAGCATCTGATCTGACCATGATGGAATCAAACTTGAAATCAGCTGTAGAAGGAGCCCTCAAAAATATACAAATTTATGGAAAGAAACTGAACAACCTGCTCCTGAATGACTTTACAACTACATAATAAATTAAGACTGAAATAAAAAGATTCATAGAAATCAATGATAATGTCTTAAGAGGGAAGTTCATAGCAATTAGCTCCTACAAGCAAAAAGCAGAAAGGTGGAAAATAAACAACCTAATGATACAACTCAGGGAACTGGAAAAACAACAAAAAACCCTAGAAACTTCCAGCATAAAAGAAATAAGCTTTGAACAGAAATAAATGAAATAAGAATAAAAGAACTATACAGAAAAGAAATGAACCCAAAAGCTGACTCTTTGAGAGGATTTAAAAAATTTGACACACCATCAGCTAGATTAGTCAAGAACAAATAAAGGAACCAGATAAATCAAATTAGCAAGGAAACAGACCTTATTGCAACAGACATAACAGAAATACAAAATATCATCGGAGAATACTGTGAGTGATTATATACCAATGAAAAAGAAAACCTGGAAGATATGCACAAATTTCTGGACACACATAACTTACCAAGATAACCAGGAAGGAATAGAAAGTTTGAATAGACCCATAACAAGCAATGAGACTGAATCAGTAATAAATAGTCTCCCAACAAAGAAGAGCCAAGGTCCCAATGGCTTTCTTTTTTCCTTTTTCTTTTTTTAAAAGAATTTATTTTATACATTCAATCACTGTATATCATTATAGCTTATAAAATGAATTTACCCAACATTAATACATTTTATACAAGTCCAGTTAAAGATATCATACATGTTATCATCAACAGACAATCTTTCATTTCTGTGTCCCTTAAATGTCTTATCTCTATATTTTTCTCCTTGATTCCTTTCCTCTCACTCTCCCCCATCTCCCACCCTCTTCCCACACTGCCTCCAGTATCCAGCTTTACTTCCTAATTGTACAAAACTTTTAAAGAAGAACTAACCCCAGTTCTCCTCAAACTGTTTGAAAGCAGCACTTCAGAGCAAATAGCTGGTCAATTGACTATACATAAAGAAAAATATTAGACACAATGTTTATTAACTGTATACATAAAAAGAAGTTAATAATGATTTCTACAATCAAACACAAAAAGTAAATTGTTGATGAGTTCTAGGTTTAAATGTGACAGGTAAAACTAAAGAACCTCTCGAAGACATTTTAGATGACAATCTTCATGAACTTGAGGTGAAAAAAGATTTGTAAAGCAGGATACATGTAAGAAGAGACTGATAAACTGTGTTGAAATTAAGACAATATTCAGAGAGGGAAAAGACAAATATTAGTGCCCAAGAAGGTAGGTAAAGTAACCCAAATAAAAGCCAATAATTTATGAAAAGGTGCTCAATCTCAGAGTCAACAGGGAAATGAAGATGAAAACAACAGTGAGGTAGTGCTGCATCTCACTATCATGGCTAACATTAAAAAGAGTGATGGTACCAAGTGTTGGCAAAGGAAAGGGCAGCCGGAACTCTTATAAACAGCT